TTTTTTTTTTTTTTTTTTTTTTTTTTGGAGAGGGCGGAATGAGCAGCCAGAAAATAAGATCTGCGCTATTACTGGACTGGCTGGGTTGTGAGTCGCACGCTCACCTCTGCGCCTGGTCCGCTTCAGGCGCCGGGACTGTCCAAGCGTACCGGTATTTCGACCAATTTGCACCTGCGGGCGGGAGCGGGAGCTGCGGCCCGGTCCACGACGCGCCCCACCCTCTCCCACCCACTGAGTGCGCCGGGTCGGCGCCGCTGCCTCTCTCCTTGGGCTCTCTCAGGAAGCAACGGGGAGCTGTGGTTTCTCCGGAATTGTGCAGTCGCCTCTGCCCCTCCTCCGGGGCGGAGGCATAGTCCTCTCAAGAGTGGAGGGTGGGTAGGTACCAGCCGGTTTGGGGTTCACATAGGCCTGGTTTGCATCCTGGTGTGCCATTTCCTAACTGTGTGACCTTGGGCAAGTCACATCACCCCTGGAAGCCTCTCTCCATGGCTGCAAAACCACAAACATAATTTTTGAAGAGTAACTGAAAAACACTCCGGAGCAGATTTTCCTTTGCAAAATACTGCCAATTTGCAACATTCACTGTCCCTGCCCAGCTGGGAGTTTCTTTAAACTGGGCCAAGAGAAAGGAAGGCCAACGTTCAGGACTGTTTGTATGGAAAGGTGCACTGGGCCTTTCAAGGTGGGATTTTGAGAGTCATCTGTGGACTAGGGAAAGGTTTCTAGGCACGTGGCTGTCTGGAATTAGGATGTGACCCCTGAATGAACCATGCATACAAAGGCCCACATAGGTGAAGCCTTGATGGGCAGAACATGCAAATCCTGGGCTCCTGGGTCTGGGCTGTGTGATCTCTGGCCAGGAGATTCCTTTCTCTGTGCCTAATATTTACCAGTTTTATTCACTGTTTTATACCCACTGCCCAGCTCAGGATCTGGCCCAGAGTGGCAGACGATAGGTATCTGTCAAATGAATGGATGAATGAATGAATGAATGAATGAGGCTTTGGTTTTGTAAACTGAAAGGATCCTTTCCAGCCCAATCCTTTCTAGATTCTGCGGACTGTAGGGGAAAACAGAGACCATCAGGTAGAGACAAGGGAGTGAGGTCAGGGTCAAGGTGGTGATCTGCATCTCCAGAGTCCATTCAAAGGTGGCCAGTTTCCTTCCTACTTAAATTAGAAGAAGCCTTGCCTCACTCTGTGTTTATCATGGGTACAGAAGGGGTCCTCTGTGACATGGGCCCTCAGAACCTAGAGGGGGACTCAGGGAGGAGGATCAGGAGGTGACCTCTGCCCTGCTGAATGTGCCTGACACTCTCTTGGCCCTTCAGCCTGGTTTATTTTACTTTCCTGCTGAGATGGTAACAACTGTGGCGCTGGGGTGGACGGACTTGGGGTGGGACACCTACTCCATCTCTTAGGCCCTTTAACTTCCTGAGCCCCAGTGCCCTCATACATAAAATAGGAAAAAAGGCTATCTTTCAGATTGCTGTGATGAGTATCACACAAGGCCAGGGCCCGACACATAATAGGCATTAACGGATATTTAATCTTTTTCAAACATAACTTAGACAAGTGAGAGTTGGCGTTCCAGGGACAAAATAGGGGCTTGGCCTCGGCCGGGATAAACGTTTTCCCTCGCTGCGCCACAGTGTTCATCTATACAAGGAGAGCAGTAACAGGGACTACCAGCTCCCGATGTGGTTGTTAGTGGTAAACCAGAAAGGGTAGAAGTAATCTCTTTGCAAACGGTGTGTCCCAGGCGCAGAAGGCACGATGTAATTCGCTCTCCTGGAGTCCACCCTGAGAATCCGAGTTCCCACTGAGAAACTTGACCCCAATTTCGGCTGCTTGAACTCCCAACTTCGGCTGCTTGAACTGGAGCAGAATCCTTGAACTCCTTTGCAGAATCCTGGCATGCATCAACCTTTTGATTGTTGGGAAACTCAGCACAGCCCTCCCTCCCAAGGGGCGGGCTCCAGTAGGCAGAGGAGGCGGGGGTCGGGGGGTGGTGGGGTCTCTGACTCGTTCTCCCGGGCCCAGCTCCCACCTCTGGGTTAGGCGTCAGAGTGCGTCAGCCTTAGGGCGCCCTCTTTTTTTACCGAAGGAGAGACTGAGGCCCAGACTGGGGCGGAGGCTCCTTCTACCTTAGTTTGTTCTTTTCCCCAGTCACCCTATCTTACTACCCTGTTGTATTTCTTTCTTAGTGCTTATCATTCCCTGTTAGCACCCTGTTTATTTATTTAACAGTAAATGAGTTTTGGGGCAAGTACCACCTCCATAACCCGCCTCCTGGAACCCTGCGCAGAGCCACCCAGAGAGTGCGCGCTTCACTAACGTTTGTTGGAAAAGTGAATAATAATATCTAACATGTATTAAGGGCTTCCTGTATGTCAGGTAGTGTTCCAAGCTCGTAATGAGCATTAACGCATTAATCCTTAAACAACACAAGCAGGTACCATTTTAAACCCCATTTTACAGATGAGAACTTGGAGGCACAGAGTGTTTATGTAACCTGCCCGGGACAAGTCGTTATATGGCAATTCGGTGGAGAGATCTGGCCAAACACCTGCTTCTTAGCTTTACTGGTCCCCTAGTGAGACTCAGCCGCGTCAGGGGGCAGGGAAGGGGCGGCCGCCTGGATTAGAGGTGGAGCAGGCGCGTCAGGTTTGGCGGAAGGTGCGGAGGGAGCAGGCGGGGCCGTGGCATAAGCCGACGAAGCCCGCCGGCCTCACAGGGTTTTGGAGACCTCCACTCGCGCTCCATCTGCGGGTCTCTCCCTCGCGATTTTGCGCCGCCTCCCATGTCTCGGTCACTATCGGTGTCCGTGTGTTTGCCCGTCTCCCCCGCAACCCGCTCTTAGCTTCCCTTCACCCTCGCGGGCGCCAAAGCCGGGCGCCAAAGCCTGACCCCAAAGCGCGGGAGCGACTTGGCTGCGTCCTCTCGGCGAGTAGAAAGCCCCTTTCCCCTCTTTCGTCTCTTCCGCCGAGCTGCGGGAGCCTCCTGCGGTAACCCCGTCCCGGCGGGCGGAAGGAGCCAGCGAGGACCCCGGCAGACGATTTAGCCTCGCCTCTTCGATCGCTCTTTTCCGAGCAGGTCAGGTTTCCCTCCACCCCCCGACGGCGCTTCCGCACTCGCTCCGCTCCCAGGACTCCCCGGCGGGGTCAGGGTTCGCCCCGCTCCTCCCCTCGCCTCCGGAGGGGGCTTCCTCTACGCGGCTTTCCGGCCTGGGGAGCCCCCCGGCGTGCGAGAGGGGCGTTGCAAAGAGACGGGAGGGCGGCCAGGCCCAGGCGCCTCCTGGGGAGTCCTCCCCACCCGTTGTTTTCTGTCTCCAGCGCGTGGAGGACTTGTCTCCGTGAGACGTCGGTTCTCTGCCTCTTCATTCAGCCCAGCACTGCCCAGCCTGGCACTGGAAGCAAACTGGTACCGAAACAGCACTGTCTTTCTCTGAGTTTGAGTTTTAGGATTTCACACACACACAAAATCCTAGTGTTCACTTTGGGATAATCAAATTTTGCTGGACTTCTTTGTACATTTTTAGGATTGATACTGTTTTTACTGTGAATTATCTAGGGAGGGAGCATCACGGTAGTTTCAAGAGGTCTCTGGACGAATCCCACCTCCATTACCATATCTCCTTTTCCTCTACTCACAGGCCCTTTACTCATCCTGAGCGCGCGCGCGCGCGCGCGCGCGCGCACACACACACACACACACACACACACACCAGCCCAGCTCCAAAACCTCACCATTCCTTCCTGTGGCAGAGCCTCCCAGTGCCTGGGGCCTTGCTAGGCAGCTCACCTCTTGGCAGATATAGTTAATGTCCAGCCCTCATAAATCAAGACCATAAAAAGCTTACTTTCATATGCACTCAATTTCTACCAAACCTAAACTAATTGCATAAATTCCTTTAGGCCACTCAGGGCTGCTCTCTGGGTTGGGATCTGATCAATTAGTCATTAGGCACTCCATTAGCTGGGGTTTAAGCTGCCTCATATAAATGTCTCCTGTCAATTTGCTTGTAATTGAATGAATAAAAAAGGGTACAATTATTAGCACAGAGGATCAGAATAAGGAGACGTCAATTTTATTGAAATATTCTAAAAATGTCTTAATCTAACAACAACAACAACAACAACAACAACAACAACAACAACTGAAGGCATTTAGACACCAGCCACTCCAAGAGTCTGTCCATGTTAAGGAAAGGTCTGGCCTGAGACATAGTAACCTGAGTATATATCTATGCTCTGTCTCCCCCCCCCCCCCCCTCCCCAGAAACTAATCTTTTCCACCCTCAGGGCCTTAGTTTCTTTACCTGTACAATGAGTAGGTTGGGGTGATTCTTTTTAAAATTATTTTTATGTTTTGTCAGAGTAATTCATGCATTTAGTTTAAAATTGAACACAGTATGACAATTTGACCAATCCCCAACCTCAGCCATGTTTAGAGATTTCTTTTGGAAGCCAGT